CAAACTGAGGGAAAAGTATTTGAACACTTCGCATCATTCCACTTCCCCCACCAGTTGTTGAGTACACAGTCTTCACCTCGTCTGTTGTTTGGTTGTCCTCTATACCAAAAGAAATACTTGGCTGCACACCCATCAGACCACATCCATGTTCTTTCTTTGACGATGTCATGGAGTCCGATCCATGTTGCTCCCTCAGCAGGGTCAGAGCTTTTGATCAGGAATTTCACAAAATCCTCTTCCTCTCTGCTGTGGATAGACACCAGGTTGCCTCCCTGGGACACACAGTAGAACTCTGCATCAGCCCAGGTCGTTTCTGTGTTGAAGTACTTGTAGCAGCGGCCGTTGAAGGAGAACCAGAAGGAGGGACAGGTGTCTTGCTGGAGCTCCATTGTGTCTTCTTCATCATCTGAAGAAGACACAGCACCCAGAGCAAGGCCCAACAGGAAGAGAAAAACCAGCATGATGATGATGATGATGATGATGTCACCGTCTCTGTCTGTTAAAGTTGTACTGACCCGTTGGAGAGGATGGAGATTGTGAAGCTTCAAGTGACAGGCTGCTTCTTATATATGTGTGGGAATGTGACGTCATTGTCACGTGACGTGATCACATGACCGGTGCCCGATAAAATGTAAGTTATAAAAGTTTTTCCGGCAGTTTCAGAAAACCTTTCTCTCGGCTGCACGGCACGCTCACCGTTATCTCCCTCAAGGTAGGACTCACGGGGTTAAGGTGGTTTTATGGTCTTTTCAATTAACCTATGGAAGGGTCTCAGGTCAGTTTGGATAGGGCGAGGGCAAGATACGTTTTCCCATCATGGAGGGAAGCTCTTCAGACATTCAAAGCATGATTAAAAATGATAGTATATACAACTCGTATCTATCTAACCTATAGAAAAACTAAACGGCTTCAGTTTAAAGTAATTCTGTCCTTCTGCTTCCCGCATCATTTATGAGAATACATTTGTTAACAAGAGAACATCATCGAGGGGTGATCAATAACATTTATGTATTTCTCCAATATGTGTGTGCACTGAGGAGTCTCAAACAGGCGTTTGTTTCATCATTTTAAGATTGGCTTTAATCAAGTTTTGCAAAGTAATTCTTCATATATGATAAATGAGAGGTAACATTCTATTGATGGTATTTCCACATATTTCTCTCCATTCTTCCTTCGCCCAACGGTGTCGCAGTTTCTCGTCTCTCCCGTTGTTGTGCGTATACCGCGTACGGATGGGTGTGCGTGGAGGACCGCACATTTTCCCGTCAAGTTAGTTTTTTATAAATCGCAAACAGTGCGTAGAAACTGGCGTACGCCATCTTTTGAGCGTACGCACAGTTTAATATGGTGTTTTACTCCAAGTTGTAATAGTTTTGAAGCAACTTGTAGGTGTTTTGCAGAGTGTAGAAGTGCTCATAACCAGCCGAGCAACCCGGGAAACTGGCTATGGACGTTTGCTCACTTTCTTCTAGCTCTTATTATTCTTTATAACATCTGTTCTTGTGTTTAATCCATAGAGCTGAGTATGAGCGTTCCCCCTCCTGGATGGAGCCAGGAGGATCTATTACTCTGTCAAAGTAAGCCTGGGTTTTAACCTTCTTTAATGGTATATTGAATTGGTGTTTGAGCTGGCAACAATTATGTTGCGTTCGGTTTTTTAAAGTCTACTGTCCTCTAGTGCTTTTTTAGTTTTATTTTCTGTCAATAGTTTTCTTGTGTGCAGATTGTGGGCAATATAATTGACTAAGTGCTTGTGTTACAGGCTCCTCTCCCTCTGGGGGAACCTTGTCTGCTTTCAGTGTAGGGACTGCACCGGGTGACACTTTAAAAGGGTGAGTAAACTAACTCTCACTGTAATCATTTTGTAGAAGATGTGCTTTGAGTAGTGCGTGCTTTTGTTCTCTTTGTGTCCCTCAGTTAGCAGGCATTGTGACCTAGTGGACCAGACCTGCCCATCTGAGGAGGGGAAACCCACCATGTCATAGTGTAAAGTATGTTCACCCTGTTACCCGTTGACAGCTGCTGAACATTGACATGTTAACATGTATATTTGTGAAATAAAGCTGCATTCTATTTGGTCATGAATGCCTCTGTTATTGTCCTCGTGAAGGGGAGCCCCAACATCTGCAAAACAATTTAGATTGAGGGTCCACAGGTTCCTCCATCCCCTCAACAGGAGTTGGTGTTGTCAGCTATTTAAAGGTGACCCCAGCCACAGTTACCACATATGCATCAGAGAGGGTGTTTTCACTGTTGGCCTAATATATGATTGGTCAACTGAACTTGGCAACACTAAACACAACCACACCTTAACATAAGCAGAAACAGACTACCTGCTCACCTGGAGATGTCGCACTAAACCTTCTATACATTTTTGACAAGGAGTAAATGATATTAAATCAAATATTGGCAGTGCTAAACATTGCCAGACCAAAACAAATGTTCTTTACAATCTCCAGAAGATGTTGGTCAGGAGGGATAATGGTCTGTTTTTAAAACGCTTTCTAGCAAGTGAAGACCAAGCTGCCCATCACACTAAAGCTTTGTAAACATTTCATCGAGCCACCACATTACCACAAATAATTCCCAGCTTGTGCAAAATGAAGATGAACATTAGGCAAAACAGACCATAAGCTTGTGTGGATATATCGTATAAAACATAATGTATTCATTTCAGGGGAGACTTATTGCTTTGTTTCTTTTCATTCACAACTGATGTCGCACTGACTTGCTCCTCTGCTGCCCTCCAGTGGCCACAAGGCACAACAGGTACTTTTACATTACAGCATGAAGCTCCAAAGCACACAAGTATTTCCAGTAACACTTTATTTTGATAGTCCATCAGTAGACATTCAACAGCACCGTTCAAACAGACAAGTAACAGGTTATTAACCAATATTCAACCTTACTATCTGTAGATTGTGTCAACATTGACAATCAACTACTCAAAATCAATCTGTCAGTTGAAAGTCAACAGGGTCATGTCGACTATCTGTTGAGAGTCAAGATGTAAACTAAAGATTACATTAAGCATTAGTTGACGATCAACAACTAATCTAGAGTTGACTATCGGCATACTTTTAGTAGGCATTCTCCACTAAGCGTTTGTAGGCATGTGTTAGGACTATCCAATGCAAGTGAAAAACTTGTGCATGTGAATAGCACCTCTGTTACCGTCTGTTAACAGCTCATGTAAACTGGCTCGTTATGATTTCAAGACTGATGTGATTTTTGTTGTTGAGGAAAACACATGGTGTGTCCTGATTTGTACTCATTGTAGTGTTTTGTTTGTATATACAGGGAACAGCTGAGGTCGAAGTGCAACAGGCTCGTGATGCACAGCATGCAGTGATACGTTGCCCACGAGCCAGTTGGAATAACCATCAAGTAATAACCATGTGTCTCCATGTATGTTCATGTGTTGTGCTTTTAAACAAACTTGTTACTGTTTTAGGAAAACTGAAATAATCACATTTTAATCAAATGTATTAACATGTCCATAACGTTCCCTTTTTTAATTAGTGGAGAACCTACTAAAAGTATGCTGATAGTCAACTCTAGTTTAGTTGACGATCAACAGATAGTCAACTAAACTTTAGTTGCTTATCTGTTGATCGTCAACGAATGCTGAATGTAACCTTTAGTTGACATGTTGACTCAACAGATAGTCGACATGACCAAAAAACAGTAGTTTGCATCTTATCTATCTACGATGGAAAAATGAGGGAAATTAAGATGAGTTTTATATATTTAATTGCCTTTTATTACTTTGACTGCAAAAGTTTTCCTTTGACATATGTTCATTCTTAAATCTAAGATGTTTTAAGTAATACAAAATAAAAAGCAGGTTTATTTTTAGATGCTAAAAACAAATGTACATTTAAAGGTAGGGTAGGTAAGTTTGAGAAACCGGCTCGAGATCGCAAGAATTTGAAAATACACAGCCGGAAAAAATCTGCCACTTCCTTACAGAGCCCCTCCAACACACACGAACGTGCACATGACCAATGAGGGCACGAGATAAGTTTGTGCCCAGATGGAAGGCTGACAGGCAGGTAGGCCATCCAGTTATTTTAGCCGGTCCGGCTCAGATGATTGGTCGTGCTTTTTACAGTACTACGGCTTCCACAGATGACCTTTTTTTATGGATTTTTTGTCAAAGCACTTCAGATATTCATTGCTATCGGGATGTTAAGAGCATTCCATGGAATATAACAAAAAGTGTATCTCGAGCCGGTTTCTCAAACTTACCTACCCCACCTTTAAGCAAATCATTTACAAGATATTTAGAGCATTAGTTCAAGTAGAAGTCATGTTGTCAGTGTTATCGTAACAAATACATGTCATACTCTCCAGATGTCTTTTGTTTTCTGTAAAGTTAGACGTTATTTACCGTTTGGCATTTTGACGGCACATTGATGGATTCTGAGTTCATAAATCCAAGAGAATCCTTGCTCACCAACACGGCAGCCACATCGTTTCTCCTCCAACTCTCATGTGAATCTTTGAACTTTCACTTCGTCTAAAAGATTTCTCACAATCTGATCGGCTGAAAGGTTTCTCCTCAGTGTGGACTTGCAAGTGTTCAGACTACATCTGAGTAAATATCTTCCACTTCTCAGTCAGCAGCCGTGGGGTTTCTCTCCGGTGTGAACCTGCATGTGAAGGTTTAATTCCCCCCTCTGTGTATATCTGTTGCTACACAGAGAGCAGCTGAATGGTTTCTCTCCAGTGTGAACATCCATGTGTCTTGGCAGATCACTTGTGATGAAATCTTTTACTGCACAGTGAGCAGCTGTAGGCTTTCTTTCCATGCACCGTTATGTGAATATGTAAATGTTCACTTCGTCTAAAAGATTTCTCACAAAACAAGCAGCTGAAGGGTTTCTCTCCGCTGTGAACTAGCATGTGTCTCGTCACATGACTCCTGCGAATAAACCGTTTACTGCACAGTGAGCAGCTGAAGGGTTTCTCTCCTGTGTGAATTAGCATGTGTCGAT